GGTGTTGTCTAGGAATCCTAGCATGTTTGTTGAGACTTAGTGTTGTCTAGAAGTTTCCTCTGAATCGCTAAGCTTTTGTTAAGAGGATACACCTTAGTAATCAAGATTGTTCATGTCACAGATCTCGATGATGCCTTCAGATTCAAGCGAATATTCTGTTGATGATTCTGGATACGTAGTCAGTTGCTCTCGAAGGAACCCAACTCGCGGCGAAGAGGAGACGTTCTAGATCTGAAGCAATATGGGAGTGAACGGTTAAAGACGACACATTACCAATGCTTTTACGGCTAAGGGCATCGACGACTACATTGGCTTTGCCTGGATGATATTGAATTCGGATGTCATAGTCCTTAAGAAGTTCGAGCCACCGTCGTTGATGCATATTCAACTCTTTTTGAGTGAAGATGTACTTTAAGCATTTGTGATCGGTAAAAATATCACAAGTCTCTCCGTACAAATAATGAAGCCATATTTTCAGTGCAAAAATGACTGATGCCAACTCAAGATCATGAGTAGGGTAGTTTATCATAAGGTTTGAGATGGCGAGACGCATACGCAATCACTTTGTCGTGTTGCATTAGAACACAGCCAAGACCACTTTTAGAAGCATCACTATAAACTTGAAAACCTCCCGAGCCATATGGCAATGCAAGAATAGGCGTTGTAATCATTCTGTTTCTCAGTTCTTCAAAACTCTTTTCATGTTCTTCACCCCAAACAAATTTAAATTCTTTTCGAAGAAGATTAGTCAAGGGAGCGGGATCCGGGAAAAGTTTTCAACAAACTGTCGATAGTAACCTGCCAGACCTAGGAAACTTTGGACTTCAGAAACATTTGTTGGTTTTGGCCAGTTAGTGATAGCCTCAACCTTTGCAGGATCGACTTTAATGCCTTCACCAGAAATAATGTGACCCAAAAATGCCATTTGATGCAACCAGAATTCACATTTAGAAAACTTTGCGTACAACTTCTTATTTTGAAGAGTTTCTAAAGTAATACGCAAGTGAGTTTCATGATCTTATTTCGGCTTTGAATATATGAGAATATCGTCAATAAAAAAAATAACAAAGTCGTCCAAATAATATTTGAAAGCTCGGTTCATAAGATCCATAAAAACTGCTGGAGCATTAGTTAACCCGAATGGCATAACAATGAATTCGTAATGGTCAAAGACCTTCCAGCCTAGTGGTAAGGCTTGGGCATGGCATAGTCATGAACCCGAGTTCGAGCCCTGGGAGGGGAGTTTTGGCGACATTTAAGTAGGGCCATGCTTTAGCTCCAAAAATTGTCGGGGATTAGTCGGGCTTTGGCCCGGACACCCTTCCAAAAAAAATGAATTCGTAATGACCATATCAAGTTCGAAATGGAGTTTTAGGAATATCTTGATCTCTGATCTGAAGTTGGTGATATCCAGACCTAAAGTCGATCTAAGAAAAATACTTTGCTCCTTGGAGTTGATCGAAGAAATCATCAATACGAGGTAAAGAGTATTTATTACGTACCGTGACCCGATTTAGTTCACGATAGTCAATACACAATCACATCGATCCATCTTTCTTTTTAACGAATAAGACCGATGCACCTCATGGAGATACACTGGGTCGAATAAAACCCCGATTAGAAAGATCTTTAAGTTGTTCCTTAAGTTCTTTCATTTCAGTTGGAGCCATACGATACGGAGCCTTTGAGATAGGGGCAGCTCCCGGAACAAGATCAATTATAAATTCAATTTCCCTTTCCAGAGGAACTCCTAAAAGTTCATCTGGAAAGACGTTTTGAAATTGATTAACAATAAGAATATCTTTAAGTTTAAGGCATACCTCTTCGGGATCTTGTAGTGAAGCTAGAAACCCTTTACATCCTTGCCATACCATTCCTTTAACATTTACTTCTGAGATAACACGAGTTCCCTTCTCAGGTGAAACACCCTGGAACACATATTCGGGTTTATTGACGTCACCGAAGATGATTTGTTTAGCTTTGCAGTTGATGGTCACTCGATGTTTAGACAACCAATCCATGCCAAGGATGATATCAAAGTGATCCATTTTCATCGGTAGTAAAGTAACTTCCCGAATTCGATCGTCAATAGATAACGGACAATTTGGGAATTGACCAAATATACATACTGAACTACCCATAGGAGGACTAATATGTAAAGTAAACTCGGTGGATTGTTCATACGATTTAAGATTTTCTTCAAAGTTTTCATAAACAATCGAGTGTGTAGCACCTGTATCAAAATAAAACATATGCATCTCTACCGTCAATAGAAAAGGTACTAGAAACCATACCCACGGTAGATTTGTCAGCAGATAGTGTAAACACTCGACCACCGGCAGTAGATTGCTTCTCTTTATCTTTAGCATTATCTTTCAGCCCTTGTTTACAATCACGAGYTAGATGACCTCGTTGACCGCAGTTATAACAAGCGCAGGTCATTTGAAGACATGGGCCAGGACGATGTCTAAAACCACAATCCTTGCACCGTAACAGAGAAGTTGTATTCGAAAAACCTTTACTAGAAGTTCCTTGAGATGAAATTGAAGGTTTGTAATTCAGTTGTTTCCACAGACCTGTCCAATTGGTTCCTCGCCCGCTAGAAATTTCTTGAAACACATCTCTGTTCCATTTCGTACCACTATCATCTCGGGAAAGTACAGAGTCTAGGATAATCCTATCTTAGTTCTACCAATTCCTCATAGATCAAACCTAAATTGTACTAAAGGATCATAACCTATAGCTCTGATACCACAACTTGTAACACCCCACTCCCACATGGTCAAAGACGGGAGATGCCACAAGTGGTTTAAAAAAACACATTATATAAAACAGAGCAGCTAATAAAATTTACCAAAAGATAATTACATAACCATAGACGGAGATAACGTGTCTCAAAATACGGTCCCAAAATACCAGTATATCTACATTGGTCATCAAAAGTTTATCAAAAGTATGACTTAATGGGTTATCTTCAATATTGTCATCTTCGTAGCTCTCATCCCAAAACCTCTGCTAAGTCATGTACCTGCCGAGGACAAGAAAATATCGGTTGATCTTAATGCTCAGTGAACGGATAATAATAACTAAACAATGAATATGAGATAACAAGTTCAAAATCAATTTATAACGCCAAGTGATAATTCAAAAGAAAGTCAAAATGAACCAAAAGTATATCAAGGGTCCGAAGACCAAACTGCATCACGAGGATGCGTTGTTCCCAAAGGATGATCAGTCCATTCAGGCATAAGTGAGGAAAGGAGTGTGAGCACAACACAACAATCATGTCCGTGGATTTAACCACGGCCACAATTCATTATCCGATAAAGGTTCCTAGGATCGATCCATACGCCCTCTATTCGACCGGTACATAATCAAGTCCACCTTTAAGGACTATAAAAATGAGGACGCCATGATCGTTATAGCCACCATAGAAACATCTCATTACGGTGCTCCGGTTATTGAGTCTATAGTAAAATGTTTCACAAATGAAGCAATCAAACAAGTCAAGTGATCAAAACGATCCATGTTCCAAATAAGAATGTACATCATATTCTGAAAGAAAACAAAAGCTCAATAGCAATTGATAAGCACAATGAGAATTTGGAACCCATATATTCGGATTTAGGAAGCCTTATACAAATGGCTATCCTCGTGTCAAGTGAGATATGAAATTCGTATCTTAGCCGAATTTGACAATTAACGCACGATCAAACGTAAATTCTCGATCAAGTTTGATTTGTCCACGTGTCTAATGAATGCATAAACGGGTTACTATTTACAAAGCATATAAACCATAATATAGCTATTCTAATAAAATTACTTAATTCTTGCAACCAGTTCTTGCAATATTATTTCCAAACTCAGAATCTCCTTTTGTATCCTTAAAACAGGATATCATTCTAAAACTGTTTCAAAGAACAGAATCTGCTTTATCCTTCCAAAACAGTTTCCAAAATCCATATTCATAAAGGCTCGTCTTTAAACTGTTAGAAACAGTTTACACCATTCCTTACCCAAAATCAAACCTCAAAGCCACAGATTTCAAATATCATTATTTAAAGATCTTTAGTATCAAAACTCACCTTATCTGCACGAACTTGCAGGTTCAAACACACATATTTCCTCAATCACTTTTGTGCAACAGTTCCTTCTTCAATAACACTTCCATCGCCACACTCACTCTTTTTCTCTTTAAAATCCTTTTTCCAAAAGTAAGATAAGATAGGATCTTATCTCTTATCTTCTTTTTAAATCTCTTTAATAAAGGCGGTGGTAGATTTATTCATATAAAACTCTTTGGGCAGTGGGTTTTAATATTTTAAAACTCATTTCTTAACCATGAAGGTTACCTTTCTTTTATAATAAAATAATGGTAAAACCATGTAAGCGCCTTTTACCCAACCAAACATACAATTCAATTTACGTGCACATACATACGTAAACACCTATGCATGTATGCACAATAGCATCTCTTCATATATACGCATACTATCCATGTATTTAATTAAATAACATCCATGCCAACATGTATTTCACAAAATAATCACATAAAGGTTATCTCGACCGAGGTTGTCTGAAACCTGGTTATCACAGACGAACCATCCTTGAGGAATGAACATGAAACAAAGTTCTTATTAGATGAAGTCCTGAAGGCTTCGAACAGATATTTCTATATTGAATCTCTCACTGCCAGAGAAGGGTCCTTACATACCCAACATTGTGCATATAAACCCTGAGTTAGGATTTATCTTCCTTGACTATGAAGGCGAAGTCAGCTTCCAAAGAATGTCTGAGTTACATCTATGTCTGATGGAACATCTTGCGTACATCAGATTCTGGCTAGATAATGACTTCTACGGTGAAATGATGGACCGCAAGATCAGAAGGGAATTTCTACGTCGAAAGGAGCTCGGAGAAGATGTACCTGGCTACATTAATCCGAACAACTTAGATTAGTTATTTCTTTTGTAATTTGTCCATTCACTGTATATCTGTTGTATTCTATGTCGACTTYCAGTGTTCAACTTATATATTATAAGTCTAAGAAATGAACAAYTTGTAATATTTCCTTTTGAAATTAATATAAGTGTTTCATTTGCATCACTGAAAAAGATCCCTGAAAAGAGTAATAGAGACACATGTCTATGAGTTCCAGTATTCTCTTACATTCACTGACAATCTATAAGTCAGTGAGCATGCCTTCAGTTTCAGTTTCCCTTCGTTTATTTTTTCTTAAACTTGTAACTTAATAAAATTTACTAAGTAAAAATTGTCACGCCCCGATATATTATTATTATTTTTTTATATATAATTTCTTTCCTTTCGAGTGCCGTGACGTCATTCTTAATAACATGTGTAATGAACAAAAATACAACTTAATATTTCAGACACACATAATATGTTTAACATAATTTGTTACATAATAGTGGAAAAGTAAAATATCTTAACATAATCAATGCTAAATAAAATGTCTAATCAAGCATGATTTCAAAACGTAGGTCCCTTCTTCCTCCTTTCACTCGTCTACTGACGAATGATACCTGAGATATATACATGTATAGTATAAGCAAAAAGCTTAGAGAATACAATATGGTTTCATGATCATGCACACATAAAACAGCGTTTTAGCATCTTTTAATTATTATCTTGCAAGTGCGCCCTCGGCTCGTCACTTTTCTTTGCGTATGTGGCATATTCTATGGACGAGAACTCCAAGACCTCGGAATTGCAAGCCCTCCTTTCATGTCCAACCCACCCCGTACGGTGGACGAATCTTGCCRAATCATACTAGTTGCATATCATTTATTTGCAATACTCACTCATTAATGCAAATCTCATCRTGACATTCCTGAAGGCTTCGAACAGATATTTCTATGTTGAATCTCTCACTGCCAGCAAAGGGTCCTTA